CTGACTTGGACATGTTTTCTAGTTTAGTTATTTAGTTGAATGTCAAAGTAGAACAGAAAAGTATTCCAACAAAGAATTGCCACCTCTTTTATCTAATAACAATTACTGCTGCTCCACGAGTACCCATCCTAGTAAGCCAGTCGATTTTTCGATTTTATAATAGGAAATGTATTTCTAGTTAAAGGACCACTATAGTGCCAGGAAAACAAACTTGTTTTCCTGGCACTATAGTGCCCTGAGGGTGCCCCCACCCTCAGGGTCCCCCTCCCGCCGGGCTCTGGAGAGAGGAAGGGGTTAAACACTTACCTTTCTCCAGCGCCGGGCGGGGAGCTGTACTCCTCCTCTCCTCCTTGTTCGCGACGTCATCGGCAGGAGCCGCTAAAGGCTACATTCAGTCGGAACAAGACAGGGAAAGCATTTCAATGTTTTCCTATGGACGCCAGTACCTCACTGTGATTTTCACAGCATAAAGAGTCGCAGTACCAGTGGCTGTCAATGAGACAGCCACTAGAGTTCTGGGAGGCTGGATTACCATAGCAGTTTCTCTGAAACTGCTATGTTTATAAAAAAAAGGGTTAATCCTAGCTGGACCTGGCACCCAGACCACTTCATTAAGCTGAAGTGGTCTGGGTGCCTAGAGTGGTCCTTTAACTAACTGAATAGAAAAGCCATAGCATTCAAGTAGCAGACATAATTAGCTGAATGGCTCAGGCTGAGTCATCATCAAGAGTGTGTAGAAAGATACCGGCTCATGGAATAAAGTAAACAGGAGATCTAAGAGCATACAACCACCAAGTGGCCTACAATAAACTGGGCTAGCAAGATAGAATCATAAAGACTGAAAAGGCAGAGGTGGAGCAGGCATATACATTATAGTAGTGGCATCAACAGATAGGCAATATTATGTAGCTTTCAAAAAGGGAGCTTGCATAAAATGACGTTAGGTGATCTTGTGTTTATAAACAATATAAGGTGAAACATGCCCCAACTCTCTCCGACCAGGTCCCCCACGTAAAAATAGACCCCGCAAATAGACAGTTAACCTGTGTACACATACTGTAGGGAATTTGTGCCTCCCATGGTGCTGCGATGTGCAGCATCATTAGAGCCCAAAGTGTTGTCAGGAACCAGTTCCCAATGTCCACAGGCCTCTCTCTCCAACCCTAGGTGAGAGCCTCAGGTTCCCGGGCAGTGATGTTTCACCCAGTGCAGTCCATGGACTACCTTCCTGGTTCCCCACCTAGGAGGGGGACACCGAACCGAGAGCTCACACTGGAGGTTGTGCCCGAGGTGTGGGTTTGCGTAGGTGGCAATTACCAGATTTTACTATTTACATGACGTAAAGTCATGATTTTATTAACAACACGGAGGTGAGTATTATGCTGCACTCTTTATTTCCCTCAGCAGCAAAGAAAACTTTAACAATAATATGAACACAGGAAACAGTCTTT